CCCCTTGGGATACGCACTCGCCTTTGCCGCCAATATTTCCACCGCCATCTACCTCGTCCTGCTACGCCCCGTCAGGGATAAGCTCCAGCTCTCCAACCTCCAGCTCATCTATGTCAACGCCCTCGCAAACATCCCCATCCTCTTGCTCATCGTCGTCATCTTCCCCGCCGACGACGACTTTGTCGACTCGTTTGACGACCCCACCTTTTTGCTCTTGTTCTCCTGCTCGTGCGCCCTGGCTGTCGTTATTAACCACGCCATCTTTGTCAACACCACCACCAACGACGCCATTGCCCAGTCTATCTCATCCCAGCTCAAGGATGTCGTCCTGCTGGTTATGAGCATCATCTTTGTTGACGACGCTTCGCAGCGCGCTGCCGGTAATTTGCAAGGTGTCTTTGTCGGCTTTTTGGGCAGCCTGGTCTATGGCGTTGGCAAGTTGGTCGAGAGGAAGAGGGCTTCCCGCAAGGCCGATGAGGAGCGCTCTCGTTTACGTGATGCCGCCAGCCGCAGCAATAGCGAGTCTTCAGAAAAGATTGCCCTCATTGCCGCAGAGACCAAAACCGTCTCCTAATTTATTTCATGTCCTGACATCCTGTAAAGCCTTTTTTTTTTGTTACAAAGACCCCGCCACCCCCACTTCCTTTGGCCCTCATCTCCACCAGTCCTGTCTGAATGCATGCATGCACGCATCCATCTGTCTCGGGCGTTCTCGCTTTCGTCGAAATCCTATAAACAAAAGAGTGGTCTCAACTTTTACTGCAAACAACTAGCCCAATTTCTTGTCCGCTGACATTCCCTTAACTTCAGACAAGGAACGAAACAAGTCTACATCCGTCCACTTTGTGACATCCCCCCCCCACGAATATGACCAATCCATCGCCCTGCCCAGTGAAAGAGGATGGCAACTGCAACGATGCAAACGACCTGGCCGGACAAACATAATACTTCACCTCCTGCTCCTTATGCAACCGGCAACGGTGTCTGCAATTTCTACAGCTTATGCAGTCATATAAGAAGCCTGATCCACCTCGTTGGGCAGCTCCGAAATCGCAACCTCAAAGCGCGACTGCACACCCTGCAACACTTCTGAGTCCGGCTCCGAGCTGACAAAAGAGATCGCAAGGCCCTTGGTTCCAAAACGACCGGCACGACCCACGCGATGCAGGTAGCTGTCGGGGCTTGATGGCATGTCATAATTAATCACAATGTTGACCCTCTCGATATCGATTCCCCTTCCGAAAATGTCGGTCGCCACCAGAATACGCTTCTGGAAATCCTTGAACGCCTTGTACCTCTTGATCCGTTCCTCCTGTCGAATGCCAGAGTGAATATCAATAGACGGGAAGTTGCACTCAATGAGCAGCTTGTTCAACTCTATGGCACGCGGGACACTCTTGACGAAAATGACGACCTGGTTGAATTCGAGAGCATCCAAAATATCAGTCATTTTGCGGTTCTTCCCATTCTCCTGGAGCTTGACAAAGTATTGAAGGAGACCATGAAGGGTGAGCTTGGTCTCATCATCAACAAAGACTTCCATCGGGCTCTGCATGAACTTTTTGGAAACTACGCGCATTTCCTTGGACAGCGTAGCCGTAAACATCATAACTTGCTTCTCGTGGGGCGTCTCCTTGAAAATTTGCTGGACATCGCGACGCATGTCGAGCTCCTCGAGGACTTTGTCACACTCATCAAGGACAAAGAACTTGACCTTGCTAATATTGAGAATCTTCTGGTTGATTAGATCTTTGATACGACCGGGGGTTCCGACTATAATATGGGGCGGGTTGCTTGAGAGAAGGTCTTTGTGCTGGCGGACGGGGACTCCACCATAGATGACGGCGGAGCGAATGTTTGGGAGATACTTTGCAAAACGCTCGAACTCGTGAGCGATCTGATAGGCCAGCTCCCTAGTGTGACCTAGAATGACGCAACTGACGTCACCGTCGATGGGCTCGATCTGCTGCAAAACAGCAAGGGTAAAGACGGCGGTTTTTCCCATTCCAGACTTGGCTTGGCACAGGACATCCATTCCGAGGATGGCCTGGGGGATGCATTCATGTTGAACTTCGGACGGATGCTCGAAACCGCAGTCTTGAATCGCGCGGAGCAGTTCGGGCTTGAGCAGAAAGTCTTTGAAGCCGGCAGAGTGGATACCGACGTATGTACCTCTTTCGAAAAGAAAACAAACACAAGAGGATTGGGCATGAGAGAGAGGGACCAAGTTAGATTGCTGAGAGAATTTTTTGCCCTGCCTATGACGTCATGGCGTGCCCGTGCTCGGAAAACGACATTTTGTCCGCAACGGCGGATGAGTTTTGTCTTCCAAGAAATTCCATGGACGCACGGGTGGCTCGGCCCCGCGCCGCGACTCAGAGAAAACAGCAAGGCCGCTGTGTAGAATGTCAAGGCGACCAGTCCCAAAGAGCTAGCTTCCGTGCACGCGCTGGGGCAAGAGCGAGCGCTAGACCCCGGGGCGTGAGGTCATCAGCGATGGCCGCAGGAGGAGTCGCGACGCGGGGGCGAGGTCGACGGTAGGCGAAGGATTAAATGAGGAAAATGCTGTGGGAGGAGGAAGTAAGCGCCTACTTCTTTGTGGTGTCCTTGCCGTTCTCGGTGGGTTTTTCGGTGGGCGCCTCGTCCTCCTCTTCGTAGTCAACGAGATCTTCCTCGCCGAGCTCCTCGGGCTTGGGGTGGTCAGCGGACATGGTTGGGCGGAAACGCGGTAGTAGTGGGAAGGCGGAAGAGTTGCGAGATGAGTGGAGAGCGCGGGTTGGAAGTCTGAGAGCAAGGTTGTGAGGATTAGTAAATGCTGGACGGGGGCAGGGGATTTACGAAATAGGGGGGCGGCTGGTGTGTGTATCATCCGTGCAGCTGGGACTTTCGAAGGGGCTCTAATTTATAGCAAAGTAGGTCAGGTTGAACCAAAAAGGGCGCCAATTTGGTGCTGATTCCGTCGTCGTCAATGCTGTTTTACGTTTATTTCTTGGATACCCGTGTTTCATCTGCTTTACACAGTAAATCGCTGGAAATCTGGGAAATCCCGGTAACTAACTCGGTTAACCAATTCGGTTACCAATGGCGCTACCGAAAGGCGCCTGCCTGCAGCAGCTTCAAAAACCAGAAGCGTTCGATCCGCAACAGAAACTATCCTTGGGTATCTTCTGCTCGCTCGTCCGCCTCCACACAGTAACGGTACCTTTGAAGGTACCTTTGAAGGTACCTTCGAAGGTACAGTATAGATGATTTCAAGGGCTTCGAGGGTCTTTGCAGTAGCGCCTGGACTGGGTGTCCATGAGTGCCCATGGGTGCCCATGGGTGAACAATCCACATGCGTCAGTCAACACGGGCACCCCTCACCCTGATGATGTGATCAAGGCGTGCGCATCTCTGCAACAAACTCGCCTGACTAACGGGTTCACCACTCGCGATAAAAAGAAACATGAAGAAAAGTCGCAGGTTTTACTTTGGCGTCGGCCACATAACCGACCTTACCACCTACTGATATTACACGTGCCCACATTTTCCTGCCCTGAAAAAAAACCAAGGTGTGGAAACGAGCCAAGTCCCACGGGGGCCGGAGACAAAAATAAAATGACCTTGTCAACGACTCGGCAAAGGGGATAAGCGGGAGATGTGAACGGCACTGATTTAGAACGATGGCAACAAGCCTCCGGAAGTGATTTGCTCGAACATGTTCTGTTGGGAGATAGCGGCGTGGTGGATGGCGCCCGAGACGGCGATCATAGCGAGGCGGCCGTTCTTGATCTCGTTGACCTTGTAGGTGGCGAGCTTGTCGGGGTTCTTGCCGAGGCCCAAGGGGTCGAAGCCAAAGTAGCCCGGCTCGCGGTCCGACTGGCCGTTGACCATCTGGATAGTGGCCGGGGTGGTCATGATCTCCCAGAAGGAGATCCAGATGAGAAGCTGGAGCATGGAGCCGTTGGTGACGCCCCAGTTGTGGCGGTCGATGACCAGGTGCGGGTACTCCTTGTACCACGGGAACTGGTAGACCTCGGCGACGATCATTCCAAGGATGGCAAGCAGGCACACGCGGCAATGCTTGATCTCGGCCTCCTGCAGGAACTTGACGTTGAGGTAGTCGGAGATGTTGAGGGGGTCGAAGCCGACGTATCCGGGCATATCCGGCGAGAGGTTGGCGGGCACGTCCATGAACGGGACGGAGGGGCTCTTGGTCTGCATGGACACGCGAGCGACGACATGGGAGGGGGCGGCTGACACCTTGGCGCCGGCGAAGGCGTTGCGCGAGAGGGCCGGGGCAGTAAAGGATCCAACAAATGCCATCATTGTGAGGTAGGGCTGAGAGTTGAGAAAGTTAGAAAGAGGAGAGGTAGAGTTGCAGAGTTGTTGGGAGTGGGCAGGTGGGGATGGGAGTGGGTGGGGGAGGGGAGGGGGCAACAGCTGCAGGCAGCGGCTGTTTATAAAGGGAGGAACGGTATCGGGTATACCCTTACCGCCCGCGCAGGGGGCGGGATGATCTTAGTGAGCTGCTGCGCCCGGGGCTGGGCGGAGGCGTCTCGGGAGCGAATGGGAGAGATCGGGGTGTGTTGTATGGGCGGCGCTCGGAGCGCCACCGGCCCGCGCAAAAATCTGCCGGCAGCCCGCGAAAAGATCTGGCGCCTGGCCCCTCCACCGCGAGGCGCAACGGGCCGAATCGCGCGCGCGCCGCCCGGAATCGGCCGGCCACCCTGCGGCGGGCGCCCTGCGCGCACGCGGTGGAGACACCTGGCGCGTCCGCATTGGCGCCCCCCGGATCTTTCCGTTGCGCGCCCCGAATC